TAAACATATTTCTATTATAAATATTCTGTTGCATTTATTTGCCAAATAATTCAGAAAGAAGAAAAAACTGATGTTCCACATTTACAGGGGTTCCTAGGGGTCTTAAAAAGTCTAAAATGTAATAATCCAAATTTTAAATACGTTGAAATATCATATACCAGGTCTTAAATACCTTCAGGTAGATGTTAATAATGTCAATGTATGTTTAACACCACTTTCATCTCTTTTTAAAACGATTATTTTCTATGAAAATATACGTTTGTGTCATGTCGGCATGTGTTGTAGTTGTGTCGAACTTGTGGGAAAATACTATTGTATAGAATACCCCACTGTCTCTGCCTTAGGTTTAAGAGATAACATGAGTTATTCTCTATAGGCTACTTCTCCATGTCCAAGTGTAAGAAATTATGGGAATTTCATATCTGTCATACTTGACATAGATCTTCTAAATTTCATTATGGTCTTAAATCTAACTTCAAGAAACCCGGATCTAATCAACTTGGTTCAGATACTTCAGATATTTTTTTCATACGATTGATGTTTTTGATGGTTGCATCACATGTTGTTAGTCTGAAAGAAAAGAAATGCTTCACTTCTCTTGAGCACATTCTAAAGGTCATAATGTTGTAATTCGCCTGTGTCAAAATAACACAGCTGCCGCCCCTATGTTCAAACTGTCGTATATTTTCCATGACACCTGTGACGAGAGAGTGGGAGTGTCTGTGTGTTTACATGCATGTCAATGTGGCATTGATGCCCTGTCAAGTCCATTCATGTGTGGATTATCAAATCACACAGGGATAGTGTTTTCTGTTTCTAGTAGTTCTGTATTGAGTGTTTGAGAAAGGTGGTGTAAAATGACATTTTTCTGTTAAAACACTGAAGTTAAGGTGTGGTTGATAAATAATGGATCTTTTGATGTAGGCTTTGATGTTTGCCCCTATAATGTGTTTTCAGCCTTATTAGAAAAAAATAACAAGCTATGGAAAATAAATATTCCTAAAAGTAAGTTACTAACATGCTCTGTTTGAAGTAAAGGGTTTAAATGAATTTGTCCATACATCCCTCCACCATTGTTAGTTTATAGCTAATGTAGATTATAATGTAAGAAAAGAATAAGATTAAAAACCAAGGAAGAAAGGAAAATCGTCCCGCGGTTGTATGAATGCAATGACGAGCTGAAATCATTTAAGTTGCTGTTTAATATTTGTCCATTGAAGCTCAGACGTGTCAAAGAAAACCTTTGGTAAATACATGAATTTGAACGCCCTGTGCACATTACACAAATAAATGCACAAATGGCGCCACCTGCAGATTCATTCCAGCAAAGCCCTTTCAATCTGCCCCAGAATCGGCTAAATAACTATGTGGGTTAAAGTAAAGAGAAGAGCCAGAGGATGGGAAAGAAAAAAAACATATTTTTCAGATCCACCTTGTGGTTGGTTTGCATGAGGTCATGTGTGGTTTTCTCAAATAGAAACCTGACATTAATTTAGCATTACAAGCAGAATCCAGCAATTCAGTGTACTCTAAAGAAACCTGATATTTTAATAAAGTAAATTATAGGCTTATTAGACTGCAAGGACATTGTATAGACTCCATAAATCATAGCAATTTATAACTTTATAAGGAAATGTTACAGGCATATGGATGCTTATGGTATGAGGATGTTGAAAGGTCTGTGAAGAGGGATGGTAGGTAGGTTATATGCAGTCAAATACAGCCTCAGCATATACAATCGTATTATTAATACTAATTGTTATAACTTTATTTATACAGCACCTTTTACAAAGACGACTAATGAAAACAAGAAAACAAAACACCAAAGAAAAGAAGCAAATCATTACAATGTCATTGAAAATCAAAGACAACAAATGATCTAAAATGAAAAACAATAAATGCTGTTGCACAAAATCTAAAATAAACAAATTATATAATTAGAAGACATTATTATGTTCATTACATTATAAAATCGGGGACAACAAATCATGTTGTACACAACATACAACATTTAAAAGTATTGGCAAATGAAAATGAAACATAAGTAAACGGGGGGAACAGATAAAAGTAAAAGCCATTCTGGAAAAGTACGTTTTTATTAGCGCTGGATCAGATATTAAAATTAAATAGACTCAGCTGTTTCCTAAATTAAACCAATAGGCTGCATACACATACACCTCTATTGCTTGACTCACCTCTGCTTGATGGTTAAAATGAGTTTGGATAATTATGCGTTTTTACGCACTGAGCAGGGTTGGCAACGACAAGTCTGCAATCAGTCCACAATGTTAGTAATAGAATAGCAAAATCACCGTTAGTGGGGTAATCGGTGCCTTCGCAGCACCGTACCCAGCCCTGGTGTCTGCACGCCTGCCTTTATTTTGGAGAAGACCCGCCCCCCTTAATAAAGACTGGACCTTCGCTCCTCCAATTCAGACAAAAGGAAAGGACGACAGATCCGCGGCGGCGCGCACCGAGCACAGCATCTGAGCACCTTGGAGACGTCTGATCCATTAGACGCGCAGCGACGCACCGGCACACTCAGCAGCACACCGACACGCACACGCCCTCCACATCCACCTGAAACCACCCGGAGCCGGTGATTTGTCCTCCTCGAAGGCCGTGGAAAGGCAGACCGAACCCCGGTTCATTTGCAGCCAGAACACCGTGTTCCCATGATGTCATACCTGTGGATTCTGCTGTTAGGAAGCCTGCTGGCCACAAGCGCCAAGGCACAAGGTAAAGATTTTATTTCAACCCATGTCTTTGAGCTGAATGCAAAATTGTTCTGCTGTCTGTTTGCCCGTCTATATGCTTGTCTGTCTGCATGTCTGTCTCACTGTCTGTGTGGTTGTATGTTGGTCATCTTCATCTCCGTTTCTACTTCAGTATCCCTCTGTGTCTCAACCTTTCTCTCCTCATCCTCTAATTATCTCCCTCATTACCCATCCTTTTATGCTTGTGCGCGCCTGTGTGAAATTGCCAGTCTTTTTTTTTGCCAGTCTGTCTGGCTCCCTGTTGGCATGTCAGTCCAATTCACCTTTACTTGTATCCTGCTTGTTTTCATATGCTCTGAATGAATGAATAATAAAATGATCTGCTCCTTGCTGTGACTGTCTTTGACTCTGCAGCTCAGACATTATCAGTGAAATAGGTGTGCCATGTAATTTGGTCATATCTTTCTGGACATGAGTTTTGGCCCACAGGGGTGTGGTGGACCCATTGTGCTTGCATAAATGATTCTCGTCTCTTTTTTTCATCCCTCTTTTGTCCTCATGTTTATTTGATCCTTTTAAAATCTCCCATCTTCTTTTGGCATCTCTCTATCTTTCATTCTGCATTTTACGCTGCCTCCTCTTCCTCTTCGTCTTCAGCTGCCTCCTCTTCCTCTTCGTCTTCAGCTGGTCCATGGGCCCCTGCCCTTCCCCGCGGCACATTCAATGATTTCAGATTCTTCAAAATCCCCTTCCAATAAAAAAGAGACTCTGAGACAAACATGGACACTGGGGGGAAAAAGAAAATGAGAGGAAACTATAGTGGAGATGCTGGAAGAAGATAAAAAGAGAAATATTGAATTGAGAGAGAGATATCCAACAAAGAAAGGAGTGAGAGAGGTAGAGGAACAGCAGACATCCTCATCAAACAAATTATGCAAACAAAAAAATCGGTTGGACGTTGGTGCGCATGGTCACATTTGGGGTAATCTCACTCTACCGGTTTACTTTTTATTATGAGTCAAAGACAGGAAACACACATGCACAAGCATGCACACACTCACACACACAAACTGGTTACCTTTCTTTTTCTTTCCCACACACACACACAAAAAACAAACAGGTTCCCTTTCTTTCTTTTTTCCTGCACACACACTCACTTCTTCTCTAATTGCTTAACTCACTGTAAACCCAGTACAGAGGCACAGCAAATCTCAGTGGGTGTGTTTTCTGCCTTGCAAGTGTGTGTATGTGAGTAACACACATACGCGTTAGTCTCACTGAAACAGATAGGGTTGCTAGGTCAGTTGCACGCACATCATGTACAGTGTGTGTAAGTTATAGAAGTAAAGCAGAGGGAGTGTCCCAGTAACTAAATCCAGCTCTAGCTGCAGACAACACCCAGCAACTCAACTAGTATCAGCGCCTTCCTCTCCCCCAGGGCTCTCAGCATCTGTTTGTGTGTGTGTGTGTGTGAGAGAGAGAGAGAGAGAGTGAGGGTGGGTGTAGACTATAACTTTAATGTACAGAACATGTGGGAGTATAAGGGTGTGTTAATGTGAGTCTGTATATGAGTCAGTTATAGGATGTGTGTGTGTGTGTGTGTGCGCGCAGGTGTACATGTACAATATACGTGTGCAGACTTGTCTGTGTTTACACATTAAACTACCACTTTGTGTGAAAAGCAGACACACACACACACACACACACACACATTCTCCCTCTGCTCCCATGGGGGCAGTTTGAAGGTGTGCATGATTGGTGTAAACACAGCACTTTCTGTCCCACAAATACACAATAGGCCCATACCTGACAGAACAATGAGTTGTGGAGGTGCTGTTTTACACCTGACACACATGCACGGGCAGTTTCTGGTGTACTATTACAAGGCAATGCTTGGTTATTGGTTACACACATACATGCATGTACACGCATTATTAGTCATTCAAACACAGACACACACAGTGGGCGATCTCACACAATCCTACAGCAGCCAGGAGCCACAAAGAACCAGAAAAGGCAGGTCCTTGCCCCCCTGACTCCAATTTATGTAACATGAACTGTGTAGTACTGTACGTTACACAACTACAAGGGCACGGAGTTCACCTATTTTCCATTTCCAATTTCAAAAATATGGAATTTGGAATGATGGAATGAATTTCAGTTTGAATAATCAGGCTTACTAAGAGGCGATATCAGGTGCCATGAGAAACAGATGCATCACATGACAGTGATGTGGCTCAGTGGCAGCAACATCAAACAATGTCCCAGCTCCAACACTTCTTTAAAAAGCAAGGAACATGATATACTGTACGAAACACTTTAAGTGCATTCCTCATGCTATACTGGCTGCTGAAGCCAGTTTGTCATAGATGCTACAATATATGCGTCTTTCATTTTAATTGCAATCCCTGATTTTTTTCACTTTAGTCCAAAGCAGTTTTTTGATTTTGGCATGTTCTTAAATCATGCTCATACATGCAGACTTTGGCAAAGCTGGTGCCAATGTTAGTCAACTTTTCCACATGATGTCACAATCTCGTTTGGTAGAAGATGAAGAAAAGTAAAATGATTATGTTGATGTTGAGTTTTTCAATGTTTTGGCAAAAGAAAATCGAATTGTTTTCGATCACAGAAACATTTTCCTCTCAGAATTAAACGAGTGCATTACATCCAATAAGAGGAAAACATAAAGCCGAACTTGACAAAGTGTCACTTTTCCCAGTGCATTTTGATACAGTTCCAATTACTAGAAGTTTCCACTTTGTTACCAGCCTCTCTTCACTTCACGTTAGATGTACCGTTGAGCTCCATGAGTACATTTCTAGGTCTTTAAGACATTTAAAGGAATAGCTTGGCAGAAAAAGTGCTCATTTGCTCAGAGCTATATTAGTAGATTTACACCACTGTCATGTCTGTGTGCTAAATACAAAGCTACAACAGAACCATCCCTTTAGTTAAATAGGAACTTTTATGTCATGGGTACAGTCACAACACTTATCTGTGTCAGATGACATATTCAAAAAAGAAGGATGTCTGATTATCAATCTATCAAACCACGAGGCCTGTCTTTGAAAGAACACAGTGTGACTAACAGTATTTAGCTTCCCACATGTATAAACTGGATTGACTCAAGAGTCTTTCCTCTGGGGTCCTTTTTTTTTCCAGTTTAACACTGCACATGCTGTACAGTCCCATGCAATAGCGTGCAGCCATGTCAAAGGCGCACAGATGACTCATTAGCCTCAAGGGTAAGCAGTGGCAGAGAAACAGATTGAGTTTTGGTAGAAAGAGAGAGAGAGAGAGGGAGAGGAAAGATAGGAGAGAGATTTTAAAGACAAGAAAGAAAGGAAAGGGGGGAGGAGGGGAGAGGAGGAGAGAGGAGGGAGACGTTTGGATGTGCAACCAGTTGTTTCACTGCTGCGCTAACACAAAACAGGACACCACTTAGTCAGAGTGTGAGAGTGAAACTGAAGTTTGCACACATCAAGTTAAACTTGTGTGTTTCAATGTATATTTGGACTGAATGGAGAAGGCATTTTATGATTTTTGTCATTTTTGCATGCTTGTATGTGTGTGCATGCAATTGTGTGTGTGTGTGTGTGTGTGTGTGTGTTGGAGGGCGGGTGGGGGGAGGGGTTGTATGTGTGTTTTGTAGCAGAGGTTGTTAGAGGAGGAAGTGGCAAACTGATAGATGGGAACAGAATGTCCCATGGAGTGGCAACTCAAAGAGAGAGTTTCTATGGGGGCAGTATCTCTCTCTCTCTCTCACACACACCCACACACACACACACACACACGTTACATGAGAGCTGCATACCTCGCACAAACACATGCATGGAAGCACAATGCCATGCAAGGAACATGCCCACTTGTTTCCACATATACTGCAAGTAAAGACATATAGGCGTGATCTAGACATGTATCACACTGAGTCTGACTAAGCCACAAAGGTTAACAGGCACTTTTTCACAGTTTGTGCAGTTTGTTTGTTTTTTTACGTCTTATCAGTTCACTGACGAGACACATCGGCTGGCATCTAGACTTATTTCCACCTCATTACCTGGACTGGTGTGCCACAGTACATCTTTGATCCAGACAGAGATTTCCAAGGAGGTCGTAAAGACAGTGGAAACACCCTGCACACGAACTCACACATGAAGTCCTGCTCATTAGTCTCTTTGAACTGGGAATAAATCACAGAGAGCACAGATTAATTGGTTTATCTTGGACGCTAAGGTGCTGTAAAAACATTGAGCCAGAGGGGAAAAAAAGAGCCCCTGTTTTTGTTCTATATGTCCGTGCAGGAGTATGTGCATGTCTGATAGTCACGTTTCAGTGCAAGAGTGCATGTAGTGCGTGTTCAGCTCCGTATTTGTGCACACTGACATGTGTGCTTCCTATGTAATTTTTCCTGGGACATGACTGTGTGTGTTTGTTTGTGTCACCTGCGCGATGATAGAAGTGCTTGAGATGTGTTCATACCGTTCTCGCTCAAGGCTTCACTGACTCCGATGAAATCTCACTTGGCAAAGCAGTCATGGGAATTGGCAGAGAACAGCTGCCAAGACAACAAAGATGATGTCTTTTTTATTTTGTGAGCACATTGAAGAGGAGAGCAGCAAAGTCGTGATCACTCATTATTTTCTGATATGTTATTTCTTTCATCTTTCCTGCCTTCTTGTACATTTCTCTCCCACTTTCCCAAGCTATCTCAGCGTCAACCATTAATCGATCCAGACGGCTGAATCTCTGTAGTTAAGAGTTGTTATTTACAATTGGAAAAATGCTTTGCCCCGGTGAACCAGCATCAGGGTGCTGCTGAAATCAGCAGAGCAAAGTTCGACCAAGTCAGAGCACAGTTTGCTGCTTCAGCTTCTCGCGTTCGACCGGGGAATGTCACAGCACTGGCTCAAACACACACACGCGCCGTTCCCATCTCACACACAGAATGACAAAGATGTGCTCCTTGTATTTTCTCATTAGTACCTAGTTGCAACTCGAGTGCTGAGGTCGAGAGCTCATATGATGTTGAGGCCGGTCAGACGTAATCGATGCGTCTGTCGTCCAAATTGCAGCTGGAGCATTAACATCAGGCACGAATCAGGCCAGGGTGTGGCTCACTGTGTGTGTGTGTGTGTAATAAATGCACCACAGCTTGACAAACATTTAGACAAACAATTTTAAATGGCAGCAGACATGGAGTTTTTAATATCCAATGGTAAAACTAATCATAACCGGTCTTTAGGTTTTATTGTTTCTCTTTTAGGTGAGATTTACATGATGATACTTGAACGTTTTGGTGCATAAAGTGTAGATGACACAAAATACTGGTCAATATAATAAATTTCAAGGATGTTGCGAAGGTTGAGGAACATGTGAGGAACTCCCCTTGAGACGGATTTTGTGTTGCCATGGCTGCCTTCTTCTTTCCTAACAGAAAGTGATAGTTTCACAGGTTTCCGTCAGCTGTGTGATGTTTGCTGAAGCACCGGGGTTTCAGGACAGGCCTTTATTTTTCTTTCCGCTTTTTGAAATGGATATTTCTCAGTTGTCAGTGCTTCGCTGGATGTAGGCTCTTATTTATTTTTTTCTTTATTCTGTTACTCTTTCCCCAACAGAGGAGGAAGCTGCTCCTGAGAACCCATCCTTCGAACCTGCAGCAGCACCAGAGGTCAACGCTGAACCCAAGGAAACAGCAGAGGTGAGGAGGGGGATATCTGCACGGCTTACTGTATGAAACTTCTAGAAAAAGACTAATGTAAATGTGAACATAATAGGTTATATTTGAAGTTTGACATGGGATTGTAAACGTGTTTGTGTTAAGCCCTAGTCGTCTCATCATTATTGCATAGCCAAGAGCGCCGCTAGAGGGTTTGGGCTAGTTGAGGAAAGCTTATCGGTGGCTCCCTGAACCGCTGTCCAACTTTGAGCCACCTGAATTATTTACTGTGTCCTTTCAAGTGCTTCTCATCTAGTTAAACTCACTGAGGTCTGGAGAGAAATGTAATCCTAAATGCTCAAGACAGCCATTTGATAACATGACACATATTAGCTGGCTGAAAACTGTGTGACTCATGTTAGTTCTTGGCTCGATAAAGAAGGTTTTATTTGGTGTAGGTTTACTGGCTTGAAATGTAACGGCAGCTCTGTGTCTCTTTCCAAACACCTCCAATCCCTTGACAGCTGCATCAGCTGTGGAAATTTGGTTTTACTGGGCTGTATCATTTTGTATTTCAATCAATTTTATATTGAATAAAGTAATTTCAAGAGATGTAAATCTTGTGCTGAATACAGGAAATACAACCATCGGTAAGTGCACCTGAGTCCAATGCTGAGCCTGAAGCTGGAGCTGATCAACCTGCTGATGACGCAGAACCAGCAGCTCCTGCCACTGAGGACGCAGAACCAGCAGCTCCTGCCACTGAGGACGCAGAACCAGCAGCTCCTGCCACTGAGGACGCAGAACCAGCAGCTCCTGCAGCTCCTGCAGCTCCTGCAGCTCCTGCAGCTGAGGACGCAGAAGCAGCAACTCCTGCAGCTCCTGCAGCTGAGGATACAGAAGCAGCAACTCCTGCAACCGAGGACACAGAACCTGCAGCTCCTGCAGCTGAGGACACAGAACCTGCAGCTCCTGCAGCTGAGGACACAGAACCTGCAGCTCCTGCAGCTGAGGACACAGAAGCAGCAACTCCTGCAGCTCCTGCCGCTGAAGACACAGATGCAGAAGAAGCGACACCTGCAGCCGCAGACACAGAGGCTGATGCAGCTGCAACAAGAGAAGGTTATTGATAGGAGTTTTTAATGATAATGAAACTGAGATAAACATTCTGGCACAAATACTAAACTTGCAAATGTCCTCACTTCCACAGTCTTTTGGCACAATCACAGTGAATAAACAAATCATTTACACTGAGAAGTAAGATATAATAGTGTTTAATGCATTAGTCCCTTGAAATCCCCATTCTAGGTGACACCCGCTCCTTCTATTCAATTTGTTTACATGTGAGGTTGTGAGCAGAAATACTAGTTAACCTATCCTCTTTTCCCTGGAATCTATGTAATAAGAAATGCAGTAAAACCAGTCATGCAACACTCTGTGTAAACAGAAGATACAAAAACAAACTAGTGATCTAATACCTGGGTCCATCTACTGTCCAGAACCAACAGCTGATCCAGAGGTTAAGGATCCTGAGGTTAAGGATCCAGAAGCTGAGCAACCAGCAGAGAATGCAGAGGAGGAATCCACTGCAGGCTCTGATCCGACAGTTGCTCCTGTGGAGGTCAGTAGCTTATAAAACATCTTATTTAAAACTACTGACAATTATATTGTACTCGAACTAACTGCAACATTTCAAATCCTTTTAGAACATAGGACAAGATGTTTAATGTACCATGTAATATAATAACGAAAGGTTTTTTACACTTATTTCACAGTAGGTGTTTGGCAGCCTTTGCTGCCAGACTTTTTTACCTTTTTTTACAAACTATAATATATCATACATTTTCAATAGAGTGGATCTGATGATGAGGCCACACCAACGACAGACGTAGCTGCAGATGATAATCAGGAACAACCGACTGATCCGGATGCTGATGCAAAACCAGAAGTTGCCATTGTCGAGGAAAATATTTTGCCAGAGGTCAGAACAGGAGTGAAGGCCATTGTTCCTTCAGGTGAGAATATGGAAAATCACACTCTCTGCTACATGTTCTCAAGAATTCAAGAGATGCTGGTTTCACTCATGTTGATCACATACCAACACAGCTGATTAAAGTAGGACAGAAGACATTTAGGGTAGTAGACCAGTGCCAGTTTATTAGGTACACCTATTGAAATGAGGTGTAGATTCATCTGTGGAGGATGAAGTTTGTGGTTCTGTTGAACTGTATTGCTGTTATCATTTTGTGTTCGAATCCAAATAACAGAAACACCTGTATATATAAGCCAATACAGCTCTATCAGCTGAGTATATAGGTGTAGTGGTATAGCATTTGTAGGGAGGCATGAACATGTATTCTGTAGATGAGCTCACCTCTTTAGCATGTGTGTCCTTGACATGGGGGAAACTGTACAGACTTGTTTCTGAAACATGTTCTGCCCGAAGTTTCTGCCACATTCTGTGTCATGTTGTGTCACAATCGCAACTGTTGCGATAAATCTCCAAATTACCTCCACCTATAGGAGGTTGTGTTTTCACGTCTGTTAGCAGGATTACACAGAAGCTGATTGTACTGACAATTGGTGGGAGGGTGGGGTATCGGCCCGAGGAGGAACCCATTAACCTTTGCAGCAGATAAGATTGAGGGGGCAGATCCATACAATGAGAGCAGGCGTTTTTCCACATTCATGAATTTCTCAGCAAATAATGCTGAGATCTTTATGGAAGAAGGCATTTGTTAGATGCTAATCAGCCTTGGCTGTGGAGGTATGTGCCCTCCTAGTATTTCAAAGATGGGATTCTTCAATTAGTTTAGTTCACACAGCAAAAATACAAAAATACACAACTACAATGCTAAAATACACGAGGGGTGTGGTAGAAACCAGTAATGGCTTACTTACATCTTCTTTCACATATAGTATATAAACTAAAGACAATTGAGAGACATTGATAAACATTGATGCATATTTCTCTGCCATTGCTCAAGATGTTATTTAAAACAATTAAATTGTGAAAACACAAATTCCTGTTGAGATGGGAAAATTCAGTTTTCCTCTTTGTTCTTTCTTTCTTTGTAATTTTATTACAGACAGAAGAAAACATCAGATTAGTGTTCCATGGCTGTGTTGCTGTTGATATTTGTATCTCTAAGTGGATTTCACATCCAAACATGATCTTGTTCTTTGTCTTTCCCAACAGATAAAAAGGAGGGGGCTGATACTATGAACGCAGGTACGTTATCATAAACTATGATTATTTATTTATTATTTCTGTCTTTCTCTCTTTACCACATTATATAAACATCAACCTTTCTGGAGCCAAGTCTTGCCTCAGCCAAACAACCATAATTGCTTAAAAAGTATGAGTCAGATGCACTTTTCATCTTGAAGAGCACTTCAGGGCAGCATAATAAAAACCGGTTGAGTTTAGTTACTACAGTAACGGCAAATCCAAGAAGAAGAAGCTGGCCTGTTGAATTCACGTGTATAAATGTTAACGTCTACATAGCAGCATTTTAAACATGTTATAGAAATGCTGAGAGAGGAGGCTCTGAGTGGGAAATAGCTTGAAAATCGTTGAACAGCATTAGTGGAAGTGTTTGGAGAGAGCGTGTTTGAGGCAGACTGACTCCTTTTAAATGTTTCCCTCAAACTCTGAATCTGCTACAACTACCTGAGCAACCATCTGACAATAAAACGATTTAAACAGTGACTTCCTCTCACCCGAAATGTACCTCTGAATCCGGCATTTCAAAACATATCAGAACTCTACGCCCCATTTAACCTCCAGTACTTCCATGAAGTTATTAACGACAGCTTTTCTCATCATTAATTAAAAAAAAAAAAAACGGCCTGTTTTGATGAGTTATTGTAAATGATATTTCTGTACCTCCCTGTTTTCTGGACAAACTGATGGCAAACAGATGTGCTTTACTTTTGCAGAATACAAATCACTTAGAAGAGTTATGAGGTTGGATTCTAACCCATAAAATGTGTACCTCCTAAGCTGTGCATGGTATGGTTTGAGTAGGGAAACCTCCCACATTACCTCAGTTAGATTTTTATCACATTTCAAATGACCCCCTACTCAACTGTTTGACCTCATCTGTGATTTTATTATCCTCCATCGACTCCCTTCTCTTAAAGCGGAATTCTTGCTCTTTCCATTTATGCTGACATCATCTCAGCATTTCCTCTCCAGATTTGCGCTGTTGTTTGTTTTCTCTAAAATGGCTATTTGAAACAGTGGTAACTAACTCCTCTTGCACCTAAGAATGTGGTGTGCCATTGACTGTTTGGGAAGTGGTTGGCCTGGAGGGTTTCACAGGCTGAGGAATGAGCTCTGATGGTGGTGAAAAGAGAGAGAACAGGATGAAGAAAGGTCATCTTCTCTATTCTGAGGAGAAGATAACAGAGAGGGGGGGAGGATACAAGCTAATCAAAGGGATATGATGGAGAGGAGAAAGTGTGAATGGAGGTTAATGGAAAAGCCAGGGATGAATAAAAGACGACAGGGTGGACAGCAGAAAGAAATCAACATGGGAGAATGTGACAGGCGACGCCCTCATCTGTGAAAAGTTGTTCTTCACAATGTGAACACAATTCTTTTTGCACTTCACCATCGATATCAGTCACGGGATCATTACACCTATGAGGTCATATCTGCAGTAAATTAATTTACTCCTCCTCTGTGGCCCTGCCCAGCCTCCAACTGCTCTGTACACTGACTTACACATGTTGTATAAGTCACTTGGGCCCCCCCCCCCTTGTTTATCATAGAGTCAGGTTGAAGTATCGTTCCTGACAGTTAATATCCTTTAATCTATGTCAACACTAGTTCACAGGATTACCATCACACGCCTGGAGCTGGAGGAGTTTCACAGTCCCAGCTGACGACAGCTCCTCGGACGGTTGATTGTTATCGAGTTTAAAATGGTTCAGCGCAGTGTGTTCGGGAAACTACGTCTTTTTGGTGAACATCTGGAAGATATTCCTCTTGGGTGGGACTGCTAAAAGATAATATCTGTAAAGATAATATCTATATTAGGATTAATATTGCATTTCTGTCAGGTTTAGGGGTTTAAATCAGAGGACGCTCTGGCTACCTCCAGGAAAATCTTAATTGTAACCAGTAAAATTAAATTTCCCAATTATACATTACCAGATAATTTTCACAAATACTTAGTATGGCTACAAACTAAATGTGCCTGAATTTTTTTCCATCAAGATCCATTAATTATTCCTTGAGAGATTGAAAATTAAAAAAACACTGCAATGTTAAAGAAAGTGTAAAAAGAATCCTAGATTCACACCAAAATTTAATGATTTCTTCCTTCACCCATACTGCATCCTTCCAAGTTTCATGGAAATCCGTCCTTTTAGTTTTAATGTAATTTTGCTAACAAACAAACAAATGCTAATAAAAACATAACCTTTGTGTAGTAGTTTATTAAAACGACTCCAGTCATTGGCAGTTGATCTCCTCGAACAACGCAGCTGAAGGAACCCATCGATATTGTTCAAAAATCCCACTTAATCTCCTGCATTTAACACCCTCATCAAGAAAGGTATTTATATACGTCTCCTGCTCTATTCACAGCTGTTCATGTGGAAAATGGCATCAAGTCTTATTAATAAGAACATTACCACCGCCTCATGAATGATAGCATCACATCCTGAGGCAGGCCATCTTATACACGTGGTCTTCTGGCTGTCGTCTGGCATCAAAATTAGACAGTATGACGATTATTACGTCACTTTGTAGCAACATAAAGACTTTCTGTTGTGATACATTCATCTGGATCTCTATACTTTAGGAATGCTTTTCTATATTTATAGCACTCCGTTCCCATGACAAGAGACTGAATTGACTTGTTTTATCTCCCGGGGTTACGAAAGTTTAATCACTATAGCTGCGAGGCAATTTGACAATAATGCAGGAACAGGAGCAGCTCCCCTCAACGTTCACTTCTCTTGTTCCCCCTACTGAAAGCTGATTCATCCCAGGTCGGTGTAATGATTATAATCTGGTGAAAGGCGCTCGTCTTTAGTGCTCTGTTATTAGTGGCTTTGTCAAGTTGAAGCAGGTAGAAGGCAGCCCTGATGTCAGAGGCATATACAGACAGGCAGCACACAGGAAAGATAACAGGGTTGTTTGCATATGGATCAGATCAAAGATCAGAGACAGAGGGTGTGCCTCTTCATCAGATATTCTATCTCTCTGATATTATGAAAAGCATTTCTCTGTGTGTACAGATGAGACTCAGTTAATATGTGTGTGTGTGTGTGTGTGTTTCCAGACTGGTTAGGAAACTCTAGACCTCTTAATGCCTCTGAGGCATCAACTACAATTAAGAGAATAATCTCGCTCCTCTCCTCTTCTTCTCTGCAGTCTGTGTCACAGTGCTTTATACGATAACCTCATTTTCACTGCTTTAATCACTTCGCTCCCTTTCTTTCCCACTTCAGCACCTGTTGCTGGCACCAAAGAAGATGGTAAGAGCCTTTCTTTTCTGGTCATGGTGGAAATATGAACAATAACAAAATAATTACATCATTGCATCTTCATTCCACAAGGCCCACATCTGTTACAGAATAACTTATTTTGCTATCAGGATATTACTGGCATGAAAAATAAAAAAAGATATGAGACAAATGGTGACATATTTAAGTTCAAACAATATTCAATACATATTTGAAGAACTATCTCAGTGATTGTTCTGAATCTCTTCCACACTGGAAGCAACTTCTTCCTGATTGTTAAACTGAAAGTGTTAAATAGAAAAACAGGTACATGTTTGTTCCTGTTTAAATATATGGTTCCTTGTGTCACATTTAATATGTAACTAAATATAAGTTGTTTAGCCTCATTAGTCCAATTGCATGTGTGCATTGACCATAATTCATGACGTAAACAAAAACTGGTTCACTGTCACGTTGCTAATTGTACTTTTATGTTCTCTCTTCCAAACACCAGACAAACCACAGGCCCAAGGTGAGTTATGGTTCCTCTCCCTTTTCTGTTTTGACCACACATCCATTCCCCAACCTGTCACACTAACCCCACACATACCTGCAGTATAAGCATTCCCCTATTGTCTTGAGTCATGCAAAATGCACTGAGCCCCAGGCAGTTGTGTTGTTGCTGCGTGACATTTCAAAAGCTTCTTTTTTTCCACTTTACATAATTTCACGAATGACAAGTTCAGGCAAAGACGGCAGAATGGGTTTTACTTTTAAGTGGCAGAGTTTAAGTCAGTGGCTGAAAGGTTGATGTCACCAGAGCTTTTTCAAAAAGTATAATTGTATTATACTAAAGAACCTAGAGATAGAAAAATGTTTTTCGTGTTGCTCGAAACACCTCTGTCCCATTATCACCAAATATCTACAATGCACGATGAGTATTTGTATCTCATATATATTTATTAAGTATATTATTATAACATTATTACACACACACATTTTCTATCTATCTACCTGATCCCATACAATTTTTCCATAGTGCATTCTCTATTTACAAACTGTATGTGTTCTATTTGTGTGTATGTTCTTGCAGCCTTTTTCTACAACACACAATCTGTCTCAGTTCTGTGTGTTCTGCGTATGTGCACATACATGTTCACACACGTCTGTGTCTGTGCCCACCCACACTTCCATTTACTGACTCACTTTTTAAATTTTTTTTTCCCTAATTTCACTGAGTCACGCATGTTCTCTACCTGTTGCCACACCCTTGTTTTTCACCTTTAACTTAATCACTATATTTGACTATCTTTCATTCTTTCTACTTCAACTCACTGACTCACCCATTACACACCATTATCCCATCTCCCCCTCGACTGTCACTACAGCACATCCTGCCATTATTACTTTACTCTGTGTTGAGTGAAGCCAGTGTGAGGAAAAACTATGAAGAAAAACTAGGATACAGGCATGTTTAGAGCATATAATGCATAATTTCTTTCCTCCTATTTTAAATCTTAAATTGCAGGAAGGCCATTGCAGTTTTACTTTAACAAGCAATGCCTGATCTACTTTATACTTTAGTCGATTCTTTTTTCTTGTACTTCCTTTATTCTGAATAAATTCTGATACCTAATGCATGACACATTGAACACTGCACATATACATGTACACTGAATGTAGATGCTTCCTTATGAATTGAACCTTGTTATCAGAAATGCAGGTTATATTTGGCTTAATTAAATCTGCTTGCTCTTTTTACTGATGCAAAAAATTGTAACATGTAACAACACAAGTGATTTTTACCTAAATTCATTTTTAATGTACTTGCAACAAGATTTATTATTAATTTGATGATCGTCTTGAAACTGTAGGTTGTCTGCATTGGTTGTGTTTGTTTCCTTTGCCTTCAATAGACTATGAAAGACATTCACAGTATGCTCTGACACAGCGGGAACACTTTTCAGATCATTGCTGTCATAGTAACTGGGTTACAGGTGCAGAGAGTTTCATGCTGTCACTGTGAATGCTTTCTTTTGGTCGTCTAAACTGTGGGATAGACGAGTGAAAAGGGATCTGAATTATGCTGGAACACGATGATACATCTCTTTCCCTCTCAGACACACACACACAAACACAGACGCACGCACACATGTCATTGAGCTTCAGTGTTAAATTGCCTTTCATTATTTCAAAATGGCACCCCGTGGCGACACTGAACATTACTGTCTCCATACGCAGGTGTTACACCGAGTCATTCAGCTTGCTGCAGTCACAGCTGTATCATGAAACACCCTCAAACTAATGTGTTTAGAATTCATTCTCGTATTCTAATCTGATACTCCATACGTTGATGAGACACTTTCAGCTCCTAAATGTCTGTTTTGTGCTCTCGTTTCCGACAGAAGCCAGCTCCAGCTCTTTAGCAGGCATCCTGTGTGGAATCGCTGTGGCTGCTGTGGGATCAGTTGTCGGATACTTCACCTATCAGAAGAAGAAACTGTGCTTCAAAAATAGACAGGGTAATTATCATGCTGATTACTTAGCGAACCCGAAGTAAACCTTAAATAACACAATGCCTAATGCAGGGCTTGAGATTTGACTAGACACAAGAGAGTCCTTCAGAATCTAGTGTTAGAGAGTGTTGTCAGACAGTGTTCGCCTGCATAGCAATACAGCCAATTCAGCATATTTTCAATTTACAGTCAACACCAACAACAGGCCAGTCAGGTTTTCAGTGATAAAGGGCAAATGTCAGTTTCAAAATTCTTTACTTTGACTATCTAATGTACATTATAAGCTGGTATTAATCAGCTATCTATATGCGAATAAATATCACTTTCAGAATTCCATTTATCTTATTCCTCTGTGGATTTCTGAGACAGTTTTTAATGGGAATTAATTATTCTCCGCCAAATGAAGTCCACAGAGTATAAGGACTATAATGTCATCAGCATGTACAGCCCGGAGCTGCTCCTCTGACGATAAGTGGGAGGTCCTGACGGCACACATATGAATAGTTTACGCCAGAAAAATAGAAATGAATCAAATTTTTCACAGTAGTGATGATAAGCAATTAGAGCTGAGAAATCCTCAGAAACTCCCTCTAGCTGTCATGCTTAATCTATGGTCAGTGGTGCTGTATAGTTTCACAATTATAGAGGAGTGATTAATCCCTACGTGTCACATTTGCCAGAGGCGACAATATGAAGTGATCTATGTTAATGAGTAGAAAAAGAGTTAATTAGCTACATGCTTATGAATTTCAAATTGACGTGTGATGCCTTGTCGGCTTCAAAAAATCGCCTGTCTGGGTTTTTGACTGACTCTTAAATCTCTGCATGTAGAAGCTGATCCAGAGGCCGCACGCAAAGCCGACACAGCCGAGGCCAATTCAGATCCGCAGGGTACGACACAAATACACACACAAACAAAATCACATAAGATACATGACATTACTTTGAAATGCTTTGACCTTTACGGTGTATTTTTCAACCCTTTGCAGTCCTTAGCAACCTGCTGAACTCCTCTTAGACCAGCGACGATCACATGACTGACTGTCTGGACCAACTACAGTCGACAAAGTGGCAATCTCACTGTTAGGCTCTATCCGCTGTGGAGCTGTGTTACTGTGAGGCCCAGAGGTGGGCTGTAAGTGTGTGTGTTTTTGTCTGATTTATAGTGTGTGTGTGTGTGTGTGTGTGCGCGCGTGTGTGTGTGGGCATATATGTGGGGTTAAAGGAGTTAGAAGAAGAAAAAAAAAGCAAGTAAAGATCCTCTATGTGAACCTTAGGGGTTTTATGATTGTTGCAATTTATTGAAATGATCGGACAAATTTTCTACTTTAAACCAAATCCAAAAAACTTATTTTGTTTCCAGAGGGGCCATTAAAGAGATTAAATCTCAGCTAGTATGACCATTTGATGGCCAACTCATAGAACTACCTTTTCTTATTGTTACGTGTATGGCTACCATCTAGTTCTAGTAACTCTATGTGAATATAAACCAGTGACAAATTTTGATGTTGTAGTTGTTTAAACTTTATACGAAATTCTTATTCTCAAGTGGAATTCTTATTTCTTGTTCCTATAAATTGTTTGAGCCATCCGTATGATTTTGAGAATCCACATTTACGTAAATCATATCTTTCATTTTCTATCCATACCATTATCTTCAGTGTAAATCGTAAACAGGGGGCTTCAATAACTGCCACTGCATTCCCTGGAGTTTGGTGAGGAATGATAGCAAAGGCCTTTTTCACAGCAGACATTCGGACTTGTAGGAGTAGCAGAGGCCCAGGGTTTCCTGTTGAACAAGTTAAAATGTCTCCTGTGAGAAAGGCCTGTATGGATCCTAGGATTCTGGGGATGCTCTGAAATGGTCCGATCTGTGTGAAGAGGGCCGCTGATGTCACTGTATGTGTGTTTGTTTGTGTGTCTTTTAATCGGTGAAGGGGCTTAGTCTTAAATCCTGTTGGGTCACTGTCACGTCTCCTCAGTCTGTTCAAGTAATTTAAACAGAGAATTGTAATACATTTGTAATGACTTGCTCAAAAAAAAATCCAAATGAGATTTAAAATATCAATTTATTTACCCTTAGAGAAAACAATGATTTCTAAATTCACCCAGGAGAGTTGAGGTGAAGTCTGACCCTGTTTCCGGACAATGGATGAATGTTCATCTGACATGAACAAGTTCAAAAACAGGTCATGTAGTAACGTATTTAGACATTTGTTCTGATGTAGTCTGTGTTAATCTAGATGTGATGCAGTAGTTTCTTCTCTATAGTGCCTTTCACTGACACAGCCTGACTTGAGCAATTTACAGACACACAGAAGAGACGTAGAATCAAAACAGTAGATGAATGTATCAGAAATATAATTGAGGAATGTAAAATGGCGCTTTGAACAGCTCGTGCACGTGAAACTGTTCCATTATTGTACATTAGTATAACAGATGCATAACTGATTGCAGTGGGCCAGTTAGATATTTTATGTATCCAGTGCTTTTTTTGACTGACGCTGCCTCCCACACTGTTTAAACAGCCTCTGTTAATTTCCTCTCTGTGTGTCTCTTTATTTGAGCAAGCCAGATGCTGTCCCGGTGTTTTTGTATCATTCATAACTCCACATCACAAACACCATCCACCTGTGATTTTTATATGGATTCAATATTTAGCAGTGGAGCTGACACAGATAATCTTTAGTCAACATGCTTGCTGTGGTATTTTGTGATTATTATTGTGAAATGCCGAAGAAGCGCTATGTAAAAAAAAAAAGAAAGAAGCCCAACAGTTTTTCTTTTTCTAGTAGTAGCACAAAACTATCAACTTCTGAATGTCTTTTCATTGCCTTGCAGTTTTTTGTACTTGCTCTGCTCCCTTTAAACACGGGGTCATAGAGGTCGCCTAGCGCTGCAGTTCATGTAAAGTGCGTAACTTGTCAAGCACCATATTAGCTGCAATACAGGACAGAGACTGTTGCTAACAGCCTTGCCTCAAGCCGAGAAATATTAAGTCTGTGATATCACATATCGATTCATTCTACTGTATGAGCTACGGACCGGGAGACGGGTCAAAGTTCGGCTTTGAATCGCCTCCTCGTCCTGTAATCTGTGATGGATGGAGATTCTCTCTACACACTGAACAAGGGGATCGTGTCGAGTGTGTCCGAAATCTCTTGCGACACCTGCTACTTTGGCACCGAGTGATAATGCACAAAAATACCCACTGAATAATAGTACAAGCGTTCAGAAATAGCCGCGTATGCCTTCAGAACAGAGGATTCTCCTTTTTTACACATTTCGCGCCTCCTCTATTGAGTATAACAGGAATCGGCATGAGCAGTCTGCTACACCCTACAGTGCACAATCAGAAACCTGATGTGAGACAATAAGAGCAGGGTCCACTCTACATTCCCATGCAGTCAGATTCCTTGTAAACACAAATGTTTCCAAACCAGAATGTAAACTAATTAATCTTCAAGCTATTGGGTCCTGAAGTGCACTTCCAACAAATAATGCTAGGTTATCAATCATGGCGCTGACCGGTCCTGCCTTACAACAAAGAACAACAGCGTTGTCGTCATCAGAGAGAGACAAGCAGAGATGTTTTGCAGGTTATTTTAATAGCAATCTCTATGGGAGAAGCACTTTCCTATCCTGTATACATCTTGATTCATCCAACACATTTAGACAATTCTTTTCTTTTTTTTGATTTAGACTAGTGTAAGACTTTTTATTTAAAATATTCTGTTTTTGATTTTGTGTAGAAACTTTCTTCCTTTTTTTCGTCATCTGGCACTTGTGTTGGTCTTCTGAAATTGTGTAAATAATGTTTGAGGAGTCAATTAAACGTGGGAGTTGGTGTGTTATTCCCTTGCCAAATATCTGTGTGTGTGTCTTTTATAGTGTAATATCACACACAAACCTTACATGATTTATTTCAATAATTCAACTTTGTCACAATAGCTAATATATTCATTGTAATTCATGCGTAGTTAACTCAACCAAGGAAGTTATGTTTTCATGTGTGTTTGTTAGTCAGCAGGATTAGACAGAAACTACTCCATCGACTCTGTGAAGGGGTGGGGCATGACTCAGAAAGAACCCATTCCATGTTTGTGCAGATCCAGATCAGGGGAAGGATCCAGACACTGACATTGTGAAATTGGGTGTTTATTAACACTTTATTTAATACTTTATGGATCATGTTGGAAAAAAATTGAGCATGTGCAAGGGACTGATATCAATTTTTTGGGGGGCAATTTGGTGCAGATCCAAATAAAAATCTGGATGTAGAACATTTTTATTTGGTATCACAAATGCACTCTAGTTTCACTAACAGAAAAGGACTGTTATGTAAAGTTTGTGCACCTGCATTCTTTTGTCTGTCCTTGTTTATGACCTTCCTCTCATCAAACTCAACACCTGTGTGTTGAGTTGGAATGTCAGTAAAGCTCGGGGAGAACAAAACAACAAACAGGCATCATGAAATGACATGAAATGCTCAATATGTAAAGTATTTATAGAAGTAAACCCGTGTACACATCTCAGAGCTTTGTGGATGAGTTATGGTGACAGGTCCACCAGAGGCTCTCAGAAGTCAGAAATGTGAACCTGCATGGGGTATTTTTTTCTTGCCAGACGAAAATTTAATTTACTTAATTCCTAGGAACACATTTGTTTCATACCTGTCAGCCATTACACCCACACACAGCAGTACAGCATCCAATTAAACCAAACACTGGGAGGAGCTAGAGTGGCCAGGTGCTGACTCATAATGCAGGTGACTTGATTTCACAAGAATTAGAATTATCTTTCATGGTTGAAACACTAATACTCAGGTGTGCTAGTGTCCGCAGGCTAAAGTGACTCATAAAAATAGCACAGGGTGAAGACACATTCAGAGAATTTGCTTGAGCAAAGGACAACATACTTCAGTGGAAAAAGGCTCCAAGTAAAAGTTGTGTCATTGAAGAAAAAAAAATGGTCTCAAAGTATCAAGTTATAGATTTACTTTAGAATGACAGCAGTTCAATGTTTCACCTAGTCTGAGCTTGGGGATCAGGAATTGCAGTGTCATGGGAAAATAATTTAGACATGGAAGAATAAGAATACATCTGATAACTTGGTTTTTCTGGTGCTTTCCTTTTTCCAGAAAACCCCTCTGTGGTTAAAGTTTAAACTTGTGACAACCCCAAAGCAGAGACTGATACAGGCGAGTAGAAGAGTACTGAGCACATGGAAGGAAAAACAGCAAGGCACACAGGATTAGCTGAGTAAACAGAGAAAACACATAGGTAAGATTCTACATAAAAAAACAAGAACACAGAAGATTCACAAAGAACAAACACACATACAGCAACTACCAAACACAGAATGATCTGACAGAGCAGTGGAGTGAAGCCCAGGCTTTTATGGGCAGGTTGATGAGCTGAGTGGAAGCAGGTGTCTGCTGCTTCCACACACACACACACACACACACACACACATGCCCTGCAGGAGAGAAGAACAAGGGGGGGGGGGGGTTATGGGAAGAACACTACCTTGTTTCCTTTGTTGTCTGCTCTTGTGATAAACCTAGTTAATAAGTGAGTGTGAGAGTAATAAAAACATTGCTAAGTAAGTCAGAGGTGTTCTTCTATGTTTAACTTTTTGTTTTAAATTTTAGATTTGTGCCTTTTTTCTCACTTGAGCCCCTGCCCCCACACGTGTCTGTGCACGTCATTGCACACACACATATATTGATACATAATAGACTTTTTGTTTTAATTATATTGTAAAGAGCATGTTTAGGGTAAAATGTATGTAAAATTATCATCAAAGCACAAAATCTGGATATTCTTCTTCTTCTTAAATCACCATTGTACTGGATTTAGTTCCATCTAGTGATGAGTTTGCAAATGGCAACCAAGTGACAACCCCCTTCCCTCACCCCAAACTTTAAAGTGTGGAGAAGAAGCTACAGGTTCATAAAGACACAAATGATCCAGTAGAAACATGGTGGTGCAACATGGCAGGTAGAGGACCTGTTCTTCATTTAGAATTAAAGGCTCATTCTGAAGTCGTTGTGAAAACAACTCTACGAATTTTCAATTTCTGCCAACAGATCTTGATAAATCCTACACCCTGGACATTTAATCATCTGGAATGTAAATGTAAGTATAAAATGTTTACTGCACGTTTAGTCCACACATTACGGTGTTTGTGATCGTCACACTGTAAGGAGGCGGGGCCAGTGGAGTCAGCAGCGCAGCGGACGTGGGACATTTTAGTTTATGAATCAGAAGCTTTGTGCAGGGATGAGGTGAGTGCACACGGTTTCCTGTTGATATGGACTCACGACAGTGTGTTCTGATGAATGAGCTGCAAATAAAATGAGACCTGAATCTAAAAGATACGATTTGACGTTGACTGTTTTGTTTTCCTCCAAATGCAGATTTGTCCCACAGCCTGCAACTCACAAACGCGCGCGCGTGTGTGTGTATGTGGACAGAACAGTGCACAGCGTGTCACAGCACTCAGAGACAACATGGAGCAGTAGAGGTTTATAGCAGATCAGATAAAGTTCACACTTGGACTTCATGACTGCACTGTGCATATGGTTCTTCCTCTTCAGCCTTAGTCCTTATTCACTCTGACACATGTTGCACAAATCATAGACTCGTGCCACAGTGAACAGCTTCCATTTTCTTTCTGTTTGCTCAGGATGAGGCTGTCAGCTGAGAGGAAGAACTAACAAAACAAAGCTTTGTAAGAAGAAACAGTCCAGATCCCATGTGAGCAAAGAAAGGGCTGCTTTATATATAGTATAACTCCAAGGTGCTGTGCAGGGACATTAAAACAACACTTACATTTGTTTTTACAGCCTTTATTGTTCTGGTTTGTTATTTAGGTTTTTGAACCTGCTGATATATGATGCAATGAAATATGATTGATGTTGTGAAGTTGTGTTTGTACTCTAGTTTTTTTATGAATATGTGTTTATCTTGAGTCTTGACCAGGTTCGGATCCGAACCTCAAGACTCAAGCCTCTGTACCTGGGGCGGTCTGTAGAACTTTTCCAGTCTTCTTGATCAATCAAGGAGCTCACAGTATAAGTCATTCACACATTCACACTATACAAAACTTTCCCTGTCATAAATCAATAACACACTGCCAGCACAGCCATCAGGGGCCATTTGGAGGTTTAGTGTCTTGGCCAAGGACACTTAAGCATGCAGACTGTGGAGGGCAGGGATCGAACCACCAACCCTCTGGTTAGTGGACGCTCTACCTTCTGAGCCACAGCTTATACCAATGCTATACCTCACAACAATACTGAGGTCTCACTAAAGGTTTCTAGGGAGAGAATGTAATATTCTAATGCAGTGCAACATGTCTGTGATTTATCTGTTATAACTGCACTTTTTTTAGAAAAATAAGGCATCTGTGTGATGAAGGCAGTAGCCCTCTGTGTTTCTATGGAGAGGTTGTCCTCTGCTCATATTCCTGATGTAGCTGTCAGGCGGTTTGGTGTGATGTGTGTATGATGTGAAATACATTTTCATATTTTTCAAATATTCCTGCCGAATTCTGTTAACCTCGAGCAGGCCCTTTGCATGTGGTTACGATTGGCAAGCGATGGTTTGCATAGCAAAAAATAAGCGCCTCAGAGTATTTTGGCCAGTGAATCTACTAATGAGCTTTGTGAAGGATCCCTCGTCGCATAAATAAAAGAGCACTCGACCAGTTTTGAAATGTGTTTCCATTTTTCATCGCACAGTCCCAGTCCCAAGTTATGTTCTTTTGAGATTTCCAGAGACTTCAGGATTAAGAGGGAATATTAAATTATAGATATTGAGATCCAGATTCGAAAGGATATCAGTTTTAGAATCAGGAGGGCGGATGTGGAGAAATTGCGTCATCTGAAAAAAAAAGATGGCAATCAGGTCAAATTTCATTTAGTGTAGCGAAGGACAAAATAACTAGCTATTATAAAGAAAATGTCTCTTTCAGTCCAAACACAAAATGGAGGGTCAAGAAGAGATGGTCTGTCTGCATATTGTGAGAGAGAGAGTTCAGTCCCATGTTTGAAATGTTTATTGCAGCAGCAGAGTTTTGGCCTCTAAGCTCTGACTTTCCCCAGATATGATTATGGGGAGTGATGAGCAAATATCTTTTACTTGCTGCTTGAGCCGACAGGTGGATGATGGGGTGGTGGATTATTTCAGCATAAGGCAGTTTAATTTCATTTCTTTTGAGTCAAATTAGACTAAGAATGTGTTAATCTTTTACCTCAAGGTCCAGTCTGGTGGCAACTCTTCTTCTCCCCCTGCTCCTGGCTGCAGGAAGTGATGTCACAGGGAAGGAGGCAAACAGGAAGCCCAACTTTGTCCTGATAATGGCTGATGACCTGGGTATCGGTGATGTTGGGTGCTACGGTAACGATACCATCAGGTAAATTCTAACAAATGTCTTTATTTTTTTAATTTATTGTATCAGATATATTTCAGTATCATGCTGATCAGAAAATTACCTTTATATATATATATATAACATATATATGTTCTGTTCTATCTTATTAGTTTACCTATTTGTTACACCTACTCTCTCACTGTAGGACCCCCAACATCGACAGGCTGGCATCTGACGGGGTGAGGCTGACTCAGCACATAGCAGCTGCTCCTCTCTGCACACCGAGCCGGGCTGCTTTTATGACAGGACGTTATGCTCTCCGCTCAGGTAAGATGAGATAAGATTAAACTTTAATTATCCACACTGGGGAAATTTGGTTGTTTCAGCAGCAGACAAGTCAGAGTGAGATAGACAAGAGAATAAAAATATAAAAAGTTTTTATGAAAAATGCAGTTTGTACATAATTTTGTATAGAAATGTTATTGAGTAAAATGCAGTGGCACAGGATGATTGCACGAGCAAGTAAAACACTGTTATTGTGATGTGCAGAGGACACTAATGTGCAAAATGATGTTTTGCTTTAGAAATAGTGCAAGAAGTAGTTGTTGGGACATGAGAAAAACCAGAGCACTATTTTATTTGTCATTCCGAATGGTGTTGTAGAGTCTGACAGCAGTCTGAATGAAGGACCTTGCACTGTGGTTGCAGCAATCTGCTGCTGAAAGAGCTGCTCAGGGCCCCCACAGTGTCATGAAGGGGTGAGAGGTGTTGTCCGTGATGGAATTCAGCTTCACTAACTGCCTCCTCTCACCCACTTTCTCAGTGGGATCCAGAGGGCAGTCTAAGATCAAGCTGGTTCTAACCAGTTTATTTAGTCTTGTTCTGTCCCTCTCAGTGCATCTGCACCTCTGTGGCGTAGAACACTGCAGAAGCCACCACAGTATCTTAAAAGGTCCTTAATAGTGTCCTGCCCACTCCGAAGGACCTCAGTCGTTAAAACCCTATTCAGCCAGTGTGCACAGAGACATCCTGGTCGTGCTTATATAGCGATGTGTGTGGGAGGATCCATATTGGTTTATTCATTATATTTTTTGCGTGTGTGTGTGTTGAGTAGGAATGGGCAGCACAGGCCGTGTACAGGTGCTGCTGTTTCTTGGAGGTTCGGGGGGGCTTCCACCGAGTGAGACCACCTTCGCTAAGAGGCTGCAGCAACAAGGATACACCACTGGCCTCATTGGTGAGATAATGTAATGTGAGCATTTATTCATTGATCCTAAATGAAGAACAGACAATTTCAGCGGGTCAGATGTTCCTGTAGAACCTGAAGATGGGTCAGCAGCACAGAGTGGCACCACAGCTCGGAGTATATATACACAATATAGTGTGTGGGTCTGTCTGTGCTTGACTTTTCTTGGTCCTCTGCTGATGTGTGGTTTAGAAAGGCTGAGAAATAATTGCACATAAGGAAGCAATTAGAGATGATAATTTTCACACTTTACAAGCATTGGCAGCACACACAACACATGGTTTTACATACACTGGTTTGTACAAGTAAGACCCTTTAATTCTCCATTAAGGTGAAATATACTCACAGAAAGCTTTCTGATGGCAATCATATTTGATTTAATGAACTGAAAATGCAGTATGATATAAATGATGCCAACTTCTTCCAGTATGTACGTTTAAAAGTCTTGATACATATTCAGAAAGACACTGCTAATAATGAACTTTAGGGTAAAGAAGAAGTAGGAGAAGAAACTGCTTCCATAAGATAATTGTGTTGTTCAGTTTGAGTAATATTAAAGTTTATAGTTATTATTTACATCTCTTAGTAAATGATAACCATTGAATAATCAGCGAAGCCACAGTATGAATAGTATTTTATGTTGATGAATGAATCAAAGGAAATGATCCAGTTAGATTTTGGTCCAATGCAGCTGAGAAAATGAATAACCTCTGCCAAGGCCCAACAGTCCCCTTATCAATCAAGCTGCTTCAAATATCGCACACTCATTAACATCAGTTCCCTAAATGTGCCTGATGTTTTCATTTAAAATCAATGAATTATTCCTTTAAGAACGGTGACACATACCACATCCCTCCACCAAGTTTCGTAGAAATCCATTCAGTTTTTTTTGTATAATCTTGCTCACAAACAAACAACAACAACAAACAGACAGGAGTGAAAACATTATCTTCCTGGTGGAGGTAATAATATTCAGCAGCAAATGATTCACTTATATTAAATCCCACAGTGAGACAGCATTAAACAAGCGAGGCAGCATAACGATGGTCTCTTCTTAATGGAAATATACAAAAGGATCTCTGTTTGAAATATGCTAGTGTCAGTATCCTGTTGTGGTATAAAGGCTCAAAAGTCAGAATGTGTAAAAGGCGCTTGTGTCTCCACAGGTAAGTGGCACTTGGGTGTGAACTGTGAGCACAGAGGGGATCACTGTCACCACCCGAACCAGCACGGCTTCAGCTACTACTACGGCCTGCCGTTCACCCTGTTCAATGACTGTGTGCCCGGAGAGGGGACCGACATCCTGGCAGACTTTCAGAGCACGCTGCGACAATTGGCCGCTATTCTTGGCGTTGGACTTTTCACACTGGTAGGCATGTTTTGTTTCCTTTCCTTAAAAATAATCACATAAAGTTAGATGTGAAATGAGAAAAAATGACCCATCTATAAAACAAAACAGTGCCAGACAAAGAGGGAGAAATGAGAAAACAAAGAGCTGCTGTGCTGTTCACCCCAAAGCAAAGAAACTAATGTGTAAACACTTAGACACACGAGCCACAGGGTTGAAAAAAAAAAAAAAAGATTGGGAACAGAAGTTGTGATTGTGAAGCTCACAGCTCACTTTAGCCAGAAAGCTCTTTCAGGACAAAGCAGAGCGATGTCGAAGCTGAAATTTGGTGAGGACCTGGCGATGGTGAGGAAGACAAATAGGAGCCAGCTGTGCCGCAGGTAGAGCAAGAGAGAGAGAGCCTGAAACAACATCAGCATTTGTTCTACAGGGGAAAAAATAAATGAATAGAACATAAAGAACCACAACAATTCAGAGTAGGAGACAGAAATCTATAAAACTCTTTTCAGATCTAAATTTACTGCACTGTTTGTACAAACAAAGGACACAATGTACTACTTGTTTCACTTGGTGGGAATGAGTACTGACTGTGGGAGTGGTATATGACACCATCTAGTGGTTAAATTGTGGAGTTGCAACAGCATCCAGCTCCAGTAAGTGACATGTTATGTGAGCATTGCAATATAGTGAAACAGCCCTGCAGTGAAAGATTGTAATGTATATATGATTAATATATAATATCTATAAATCTAGAGGCCAACATTGGTCTTAGGCTGTGGTACACACACACTTAGTCTGGTCTTCATGATTTCAGAGGATATTTCAGTACATTTACATCCATTTCCTGGAGACTTACTCAAACCTTAACTATAAGTACTACCTGCTGAACCCTGACCTTGACATGACAGCGTCCCAATAGTAAAGCCATCAATCAGTCAATCACATTTGATTTGTATAGCCCAAATTCACAATTTGTGGAAAAAACAAACAGGAAAAAGACGTAGAAACCTCAGAGAGAGAAACATGTGAGGGATCCATCTCCCAGGATGGAAAAATGAAAAATGAATGTGAGCTTATAGGGCGTGAATGAAATGAACATGTTTGAATTTAAAGCACAAGTATGATCATTATCAACACTCAGTGTCCTAGAAATTTCACAGTCAGCAATGGAAACCATCATAAAACACGATTGACTTCTC